TCATCCACATAAACCACCATGAAACTCCTCTGCTCCCCCTCGCCAAGCATGAACAAGGAGTGATCGGCCGTTGAGGGAGTGAAGCCGATCCCCTCCAACACTTCGCGCAGCTTCATGTACCATTGCCTAGGGGCCTGCTTCAGCCCATAGAGGGCCTTCTTCAGCTTCCACACTCTGCCACTACCATCATCAAACCCCTCTGGCTGCGCCATAAAAATCTCCTCCTCAAGGATGCCGTTAAGGAATGCCGTTACGATGTCCATTTGCTTTACTACCCATCCTTTGATGGCGGCTCCCGCGAATAGGGTTCGCAGCGTCGTCGGCTTCACCACAGGGGCAAACAGCTCCTTGAAGTCCACCTTCTCCTTCTGCTGGTACCCCTTGGCTACAAGCCTAGACTTGTAGCGCTCGATCTTGCCGTCGGCATCCGACTTGATTTTGAAGAGCCACTTGGACGTTATCGCCGTACGCCCCTCCGGTAGCTCCACCAATTCAAACGTGTCATTCTCCTCGATGCTCTTCAGCTCACTCTCCATGGCCTTCTTCCACTCCTCAGCATCACTACTCTCCAAAGCCTCCTTGAGAGTTGCTGGTTCTCCCGGCATCTCCACCGGAGAGAAGAACGCGAAGGCACACTCCTCGTAGTCACTCTCCTCGTCGTCTCCGACCATCATTGCCGCTCCGGCCAGGGCTGTCTTGCCCTGCTTTCCCGGCGCATCATAGGTCAGCCTATTAGGGGGTTGAACTCTCCTCTTCCTCCTTCCTTCCTCCTCAGCTGCAGGGACTTGAAGGCCTTGGCGTTGCTGCGGTGTGGCTCGAATCCGTGGAGCACTCGTAGTACGGGAAGGGAGTGACGATGCACGCTCGCTCACTTGCTGCACCTCCTCCTCTTCTTCCTCTGCATCATTGGCCTCCTCTCCCCCATTCACAAGGGAGGATTGCCTTGTGGTTGTGCTGCCGCTGCTCAGCTCCAAAGGCAGCTCCACATGCTCCAAACCGGAACTCTCCACCTCCCCAAACCGCACGCCTATCTTCGCCTCATTCTCCGCCTTCCAATCCTTGTACATGAAGTTCTCCATGAACTTGCAGTCCCTGCTCACCAAGAACTTCTTGGTGAATGGGTCCCAAAGAAGCCATCCCTTGCTGTTTTGAGCCATGCCCAAGTGCACGGCCCACACCGCCTTGGCACCAAGCTTGTTGTGCCGAAGATGCTTAGGCACGAGCGCCATGCACATGCACCCGAACACCCGAAGCATATCCACCTTTGGCTTCCTTCCTAGCCACTCCACATAGGGCACCCATTTGTCTGCTCCCACATGAGTCAAGGCTCTGTTCTTGGCCACACACGCGCTCCGCACCGCATCAGGCCAGAAAGAGTCGGGTAGCCCGGCTTCAATGAGCAACCCGCGTGCCGCCTCCGTGATTGTGCGGTTCGCTCGCTCGGCGATGCCGTTCATTGCAGGGGAGTATGGCATGGTGAGGGAGTGCCGAATACCATTCTTCTTCAGCCACAACCCAAACTCCTTGCTCAGGAACTCTCCCCCTCGATCGGTGCGGATTGACTTGACTAGACGGTCTTGTTGCCGCTCCACCATCGGGAACCAATCCGTCTTCAACGTTTCAGCCACGTCGCTCTTCTTGGCCAGCACGTACACCCAAGTCATGCGGGTGTAGACGTCGACAATGGTGAGAAAATACTCAGCTCCAGCAGCTCCAAGCTTCAGGGGGCCCACCACGTCCATCACCACCTCATCAAGCGGTGCCTTTGCCGTTGCCTCCGAACTAGGGAACGGAAACCGGGTGAACTTGGCTTGAATGCACGTCGGGCAGCCAAGCACCTCATCGGGCTCCCCCTTCACACGTATGCCAGCAACCATCTCATTCTTCACTAGCTGCTGCAAGATGGGCAGGGCCACAGGCCCCATGCGCCGATGCAAGGTGAGCCAATCACACTCCCCCGTAGCCGAAGTTGGATTGGAGAATGCCGCGCTCGCAATAGCACCCCACATACTCTCTCCGTAGTCCTCCTCCGCTGCTGCCTCTGGGTTCTCCTCACCCTTTTGCTGCTCCTTGGTTGCTGCACCACTCTCCTTAGGTTCACTGAACTTGCTGGTCCCTCCAGGTTTGCTCTTCTTGAGCTCATTCTCCTTAGCTCGACCGTTCGCGCCATCGTCGCTACCGACCGCTCCATCCTTGGTGCTGATGCTTGCTGCCACTTGCCTCTCCTTAGGCATAGGGACCACTGGGATCTGCCACATCTCGTTGTAGACATCCCTGTCCTCATGAAGGTCCCAGAGAATTCGATCGCCAAGCCTTGCGGTGTAGGTCTTGGCTCCCTTCGAGTTCGTGTCCATGCCGGCCTTTGCCAACCGCCGCACGGAAATCAGGTTTGCAGCAAGGCTGGGCACCCAAAGCACGTTCTTGAGGCCCACCATCTTCCCATCAGCACCCTTGAACATGGCCTTGCCCATGCCTTTCACCTCTGCTCGCTGCCCCAAAGCCGATGTGACATGCTTCACCGGTAACGGCTCGAGTTCGGTGAGCAAGTCCGGGCGAGGTGTCATGCTATAGGTAGCGCCACTATCAATCACCCAATAGTCCAGGGGGTGTAGGGTCACCTTCCCCACAGCTGCTGGCTCCTCAAAGCCTTCATCCTTCTCTGGACCAGCCGGTACTTGCGTCGACACGAAGTAGAATAAACCCGGGTATCGATCGTCGCTCGGGTCCTTGTCGTTGTCTCCGCTCTTCATGTTTGCAGCTCCGCCACCGCGACCGCCACGGCCTCCACGGCCTCGTCCTCTCCCTCCTCCTGCTCCTCTACCCTCTTGGCCTTGAGCAGGGGTCCAACCATCAGGGAGTTTGTAGCAGTCGCGCCACATGTGTCCGCTCTTGTGGCAATAGTGACACTCGCCGTCGAATCGGCCGCGACCGCGTCCGTAGCTCTTGTCGTCGCTGCCGTAACCGCCACTCCTGCGGCCTCCGCCGAAGTTGCTGCCACCAAACCTTCCTCCCCCTCGTCCTCTGCCTCTTCCTCGACCATATCCACGGCCGATGCTCGCTGCCCCAGCGCCATCCGCACTCGCCAACTCACGGCGGCGGAAATCCTCTTGAAGGATAGCTCGCTTCACGTCTTCAAGCGAGAGGCGGGGCAAGTCGCGATTAAGGTTGATGATGAGCGAGGACCATGACTCTGGGAGTAAGGCCAGCAACTTGGTCTTCTTTTGGAGCTCACTGTAGTTCAAATCAGCTCCCTCAAGCCGCGTCAACAAGTCGAAGAATTTCTGCACCCCTTCTTCAACCGCTTCGTCTTCTTCAATTCGTAGTGCCGCCATTTGCCGTTCCAACACCACCGCTACCGCCGCTGTTGCAGGAGCATGTACACCCTTGAGAGCAGCCCATGCCTTTGGTCCTTTCTCTGGTTCACGCTGGAATGGCTTGATGTGACGGATCTGACTGCTCCCCAACGCTTGCCCAAGTAAGAGATAGCCTTGTGCGCTCTTCCGCACCCACGGGCTCTTCTCCGGGTCGTTCTCGGGGCGCTTCTCCGTTCCTTCCATCACCTCCAGCAGGTCATAGTGGTCAAAGATGTTCTCCATCTTGAAGGACCATTCAGCAAAGTTGTCACCGTTGAACTTGTCAAGCCCAAACACCCTAGGCTCATCCCTAGGTGGGCCAAGACTTGGTTGCATGGGCGCCATGGCTGAATCACGGGGTTGGCCTTGAGCTTGAGCTTCTCCACTACCACCAGCACCTCTGCCACCCCTTTCCTCAGGTCCAGATATTGTCGAAACTGCTCCAAGGGGCTCTGATACCACTTGTTATAGTCACAATAGGCTTGAATGTGCCTAAAACGAAAGATAGAGAGCACAGACGGATTTCTGCACAGCGGCTTCAAACGTTGATAGCGTTCTGCTCACAGCTGCAAATGACTTGATTCAAATTGGATCTGGAGCGTCTTAACGTCGTCTACAATTAGCAATTTAGATTGCACGATTTGATAAAGAATTGACGACACAGCGTCGGTTTGAACGAACGGTACTATGGCAGCCACTATAGTCTTAGAACACAAGATAGGAAGAGTTACGAGTTGGGAATGACTCCCAGCTCCTACAAACCCCAAGAGCCGAGGTACAGTGATGTGGAACAGTGCCACACTGTCCCCAACCATGAAGGGTCTCGAAACTACCCTTCACTAGGGCCTACTCCAAGTGAAATGTTACACTACACAAAGTAATGTAACTATCTTCAATATCTTGAGGTGTACCCTTTTTTGGCGAGCTTCGAAATCACTTGAGGCTTGACACCAAGGCTCGGGCTCTTCATCACAAACTCATCCTTGAGTTCTTGATGGGTCTGCTGCACACACCTGCGACACGCCGAACGTTCGACACAGGACAAAATAGAAACCGCGCACGACAAAATAGAAACCGCGCGCGAGACACAAACGACCGCGTAACACGCGTCTAGCGATAACTCGCTATTGACTCGACACACACACTCGACATCATGACTCAACATTCACACACAATTATAAGCATGAAATATATATTATCCCATGCCCTCATACCATTCCATACACACACACATTCACGCACACGGACAACAAGCCGAGTGCAAACCGTAGGGTTGCACCAACAATCCTTGCCCCCCAGTGCCGCCAGCAGTGCGCGTGCCCTCTCTCCCCAGCGCCGTGCGTCGTCCCGCCGGGCCTGCAGCTGCGCCACCGCTGGCAGCCGCACCGCCACGCCCCTTGCCTCCTGCAGCAACCCGTCCATGTCCTGAGGGGGGAAGGACGGGGGGACGGGGATTGAAGACGTACGGGGGGGCGCCGGGTGAGCTTGGGTGGGGAACGAGACACAGGCAGGGAGGCGAGGAAGGGGGGAGGAGGTTTGGGCAATGAGGCGAGCGGGAGAGATGCAAGGAGAAGCAGCGCTGACTGGCGGAACAAAAGGCGCGAAAGCAAGACAGGTTGCCGGGAACGAGAGAGCAGCGCGGTGGACATGGCAGTGTGGGGAGGTGACAGCGAGGTGGGGAGGTGGCAGCGAGGTAGGGAGGTGGCAGCGAGGTGGGGAGGTGGCAGCGAGGTGGGGAGGTGGCAGCGAGGTGGGGTGGTGGCAGCGAGGTGGGCAGGTGGCAGCGAGGTGGGGAGGTGGCAGCGAGGTGGGGAGGTGGCAGCGAGGTGGGGAGGTGGCAGCGAGGTGGGGAGGTGGCAGCGAGGTGGGGAGGTGGCAGCGAGGTGGGGAGGTGGCAGCGAGGTGGGCAGGTGGCAGCGAGGTGGGGAGGTGGCAGCGAGGTGGGGAGGTGGCAGCGAGGTGGGGAAGTGGCAGCGAGGTGGGGAGGTGGCAGCGAGGTGGGCAGGTGGCAGCGAGGTGGGCAGGTGGCAGCGAGGTGGGGAGGTGACAGCGAGGTGGGCAGGTGGCAGCGAGGTGGGGAGGTGACAGCGAGGTGGGGAGGTGGCAGCGAGGTGGGCAGGTGACAGCGAGGTGGGCAGGTGACAGCGAGGTGGGCAGGTGGCAGCGAGGTGGGCAGGTGGCAGCGAGATGGGCAGGTGACAGCGAGGTGGGCAGGTGGCAGCGAGGTGGGCAGGTGGCAGCGAGGTGGGCAGGTGACAGCGAGGTGGGGAGGTGGCAGCGAGGTGGGGAGGTGGCAGCGAGGTGGGGAAGTGACAGCGAGGTGGGCAGGTGGCAGCGAGGTGGGCAGGTGGCAGCGAGGTGGGCAGGTGGCAGCGAGGTGGGCAGGTGGCAGCGAGGTGGGAGCGAGGTGGGTGTTAAAATATATATTGTGTAGCATGCCAACACATGTGACTGTACACCAATTGTGGTGTACAGTTGGGTTGGGACTACACCCAACTTTGGGTGTAGTCTTGCACTTTGGGGTGCCAATCCACCCAATTGTGGTGGAGCCCCCAAATGCAACCCTCTTGACTTGTGGGTACCTCACTTCCCACAATTGAGGTTACCCCAAGCCAAGTGGGCCTAGGGTTGCCTCACTTCTACAAAGTGTGGGCAACCCAACCCACTTGACCTATGGTTCCCTCACTTCCCCAAGTGAGGTCAACCCAACCTATGGTCACTTTCATCCTTCCCTTCCAACCTTCCCTTCCAACTATGTATGCTAGGTTGTTCCTCTAATCTCATGACTTGTTCAATTTGCTACTTTCACATGGTATAGAGCTACTTGTTCCTAGGCCTTACCTCTCCCTCCCTTCAGTTTTTTTTTCCCATGGGCCCACCCCACAGCTACAAACCCTTTCCTACGCGTGGCTCAACTAGCCATCACTAGCATACTCTCGCCGCGACCTACGCCGTCGCCGCCGTTCCCCCCCCCTCCCGCCGCGATTACGCCTTCCTCGCCTGCCGATTCCACCGCCGCGAGCGCAACGCCGCTGTCCCCTCCTCCCCCCCGCCGCGACCCCCTGTCGCCGCCTCCCCTTCTCGCCGCCGCGCCCGATTCGGCGCTGCCTGCGCATCTTGCCGCCGCGACGCCTCGTCGCCGCCTGCCCGCTGCCCGTCCCTCCGCCGCGACGTCACGTCGCCGCGTTCCAGCCGCTGCGCCTGCTACGGCGCCGCCTGCGCATCCTGCCGCCGCGACGCCTCGTCGCCGCCTGCCCGTCCCTCCGCCGCGACGTCTCGTCGCCGCGTTCCCGCCGCCGCGCCTGCTTCGGCGCCGCCTGCGCATCCTGCCGCCGCGACGCCTCGTCACCGCCTGCCCGTCCCTCCGCCGCGACGTCTCGTCGCCGCGTTCCCGCCGCCGCGCCTGCTACGGCGCCGCCTGCGCATCCTGCCGCCGCGACACCTCGTCGCCGCCTGCCCGTCCCTCCGCCGCGACGTCTCGTCGCCGCGTTCCCGCCGCCGCGCCTGCTTCGGCGCCGCCTGCGCATCCCGCCGCCGCGACGCCTCGTCGCCGCCTGCCCGTCCCTCCGCCGCGACGTCACGTCGCCGCCTCCCCTTCCCGCCGCCGCGCCTGCTTCGGCGCCATCTGCCCGTCCCGCCGCCGCGACAGCTCGTCGCCCCCTGCCCGTCCCGCCGCCGCGACCTAACATCGCCGCCTGCGCATTCCGCCGCCGCGACTGCTCGTCGTCACCTCCCCGCCCCCACCCCCCCCCCCCCCCCCCCCCCCCCCCCCCCCCCCCCCCCCCCCCCCCCCCCCCCCCCCCCCCCCCCGCCGCGATTTCGCATTGCCGCCTCCCCTCCCACCGCCGCACCTGCTTCCGCGTCACCCACGCATCTCGCTGCCCCTTCTGCATCGCCACCCTCCCGCAATTTCCCGTTAACGCCACTGCGCCGCCGCCGCCCTACCGCCGCGACTGCTTCGGCGCCGTCTGCCCATCCTCCACCGCGACCGCGCCATCCCCGCCCACACTTCCTGCCGCCGTGACTGCCCCGTCGCCGCCTGCAGATTCAGCCGCAACTGCACCCTCCCTTCCTCCTCTCCCTACTCCTCTCCCCCCCCCTCCCCCTCCCCCTGCGCCCCTCGTTGCCGCGGCCTGCCTGCCGCCGCCGTCCCTCGTTTCGCCGCCGCGGCCCTTCCGCCGTCGCCTGCGCCCCTCGTCGTCGCGGCCTGCTCGCCGCCGCCGCCCCCGACTTTGCCACCGCCTCCCCTTCCCGCCGCCGCACGTTCGCACAGCCGCCTGCGCCCTTGTCACCGTCGCTCCCTGCACCTTGAACGCCTCTGCCCTCCACCGCTGTCTCCCTCCTTTACCCCCCCCCCCCCCCCCCCCCCCCCGTCCCTCCTCCTGCCAGCGGCAGCAGCAGCGGCAGCAGGGGAAGTGCAGCAGCCTCCGCAGCAGCAACTTCACCCTTGGCCGCCGCGGGTCCACCCGCCGTCGCCCATCATGACTGCTACCCCCCCTGCCCCTCTCCCCCCTCCTCACTGGAGCAGTGTTACTCCTCGCCCCTCCCTTCTCAACACTCCGACCCTCCACTCCTCCCCCCCCCCTTATCTCCGCCTGCTCACCCCCTCCCCCCCTCCCCATCCGCGGCGTTTCCAGCAGCTCCAGCATCAGCAGCAGCAGGACTTCCAGCAGCGGCAGCAACCACAATTTCTCCAGCCGCACCCCCCACATCTCCTCCAGCCGCGGCAATCGCAGCAGCAGCAGTTCTTCCAACACCAACAGCAGCCGCAATCTCTCCAGCCTCACCCGCCACAGTTTCTCCATCCCCAGCAGCAGCAGTCCTTCCAGCCGCAGCAGCGGCAGTCCTTCCAGCAGCAGCAGCTGCCACAGTTCCTTCCACCGCAGCAGCAGCAGTCCTTCCTGCAGCAGCAGCAGCCACAGTCTCTTCAGCCGCAGCAGCAGCAGTGCTTCCAGCAGCAGCAGCTGCCACAGTTCCTTCCGCCGCAGCAGCAGCAGTCCTTCCAGCAGCAGCGGCAGCCACAGTTTCTTCAGCCGCAGCAGCAGCAGTGCTTCCAGCAGCAGCACCAGCCATAGTTCTCTCCATCCGCAGCAGCAGCAGTGCTTCCAGCAGCAGCAGCCACCACAATCTCTCCAGCCGCAGCAACCGCGGCAGCATCGGCGGTGCTTCCAGCAGCAGCAGCAGCCCAATCTCTCCAGCCGCAACCGTCACAGTCTCTCCCACCGCAGCAGCCGCAGCAGCAACAGTACTTACAGCAGCAGCACCCGCCGCTCTCTCCCTCTTCTATCCATGAAACAACTCTCCAGTACTCTGTGTTCCCTCCCTCTCCTTCCCCCCCCACCCTGGACTTTGTCCTTGACAGTGGGGCCACCGAAACCGCACTAAAAGACGCTGGCACCCTCACCCCCCTTCCACTTCCCACCCAGGTTCATGGTGCCGACTCCAGCTTTTCCATCCCCTGCACTCACCTCTCCACCCTTCCTTGCACCGCCTTCCCATCCGGTACAGTCACCGGTCTCCACATCCCTACCCTTCGCAATAACCTCCTCTCCCACCGTGAACTCCAAGGCGTTGGCATTACCGCCATTTACCCTGGCTTTGCTTCCTACTGCGATCTCTACCACACCGCCTCTGGTCGTTTCCTCCTGCGCATTCCCCTTTGCCCTCGCACTCGCCTTTACACGCTCCGCACACCCCGTCCCTCCTTTTGTCACGTCACCACTCGTGCTGGTACTTCCACCGGTCCCCTTCTCCCTCCCCCTCACCCTCCCCCTCCCCCTCCTCTGATATCCTCCTCCTCTACTCCATCCGCCTCCTCCTCCCCCCCCAACTTTTCCCCCACCCCATCCCCCTCCTCCTCTACTGCCCTCTCCCATCCTGCAGTGCTCCTACATCACAGACTCGGCCATCCCAACTTCGCCGCACTTCGCTCCACCGTCACCTCTCGCCTCCTTAACAGCCTTCCTCCCACCTTACCTCCCCTCCCCTCCTCCCCTGCTCCCCCATGCCCATCATGCATTCATGGCAAGCTCAAACAGTCCCCCCATCACAGTCATCCCACCTTCGCTCCCGCCCCCATTGACCTTGTTCACATGGATCTCTGGGGCCCTTATCCCATCCGCTCCCGTCAGGGGCACAGGTACATGCTCGTGCTCGTCGACGACCACAGTCGGTACTCCACCGTCTTCTTTCTTCACACGAAAGACCAGGTGCCGGCTGTGGTCATCAACTGGGCTGAGCAGTGCCGCAACCACTTCAAACGTCCCATAGGCCGCCTTCACTCTGACGGTGGGGGTGAGTTCATCAATCATACTCTCTCCACTTACTGCAAAACATACGGCATTCAGCAGACCACCACCCTTCCCCACTCCCCTCAGCAAAACGGCATCGCTGAGAGTCGCATCCGTGAGATCACAAAGATTGCGCGCTGCCTCATTGCTCACGCCTCCACCCCTCCCTCCCTCTGGAGCTATGCCCTCATTCATGCCGCCCTCCTCCTCAATCTCCGCTCCCACCCTCAGCATCCCTCCTCCTCCCCCACAGAACTCTGGTCCAAGGCCAAGCCTGACGCCGCAGGCCTTCGTGTTTGGGGCTGCAAGGCGTTCGTCCTCATTCCACCGGCCGACCGCTCCCGCGCTGCTGGCAAGCTCGCTCCTCGCGCTCTGGAGTGCGTCTACCTTGGGCACAATCGTGATTCCCCAGGCTACCTATTCCTCCACCCTCCCACCAATCGCCTCATCCGCAGCATTGACGTCGTCTTCGACGAGTCCACTCCCTACTACTCCACCCCTCCTCCTGACCCCCTCCCTCCTCCCACTCGCCCCCTCGCTTGGACCGACACCATCCTCCCGCCTCTTATCCCTCCAGCGCCTCTCCTCCCACCTGTCGCCGCCCCACTCCCGCCTTCCTCCTCTGCCGACGTCTACGACCCTGCCGCACCCGCCTCCCCCGCTCACTCAGCTGCACCCCCTCCCCCCTCTCCCTCCTCTCATTCTCCTCCTTTCCAGCAGCCGGATCAGCAACAGCAGGGGCAGCAGCAGCAGCAGCAGCCGGATCAGCAACAGCAGGGGCAGCAGCAGCACCAGCAGCAGCAGCAGCAGCAGCAGCAGCGGGAGCAACACCAGCAACGGCAGCAGGGGCAGCAGCAGCAGCAGCCGGGGCAGCAGCAGCAGCAGCAGCAGCAGCCGGAGCAGCAGCAGCAGCAGCCGGGGCAGCCGCATCAGCAGCAGCCGGGACAGCAGCAGCAGCAGCAGCATCAGCAGCAGCAGCACCAGCAGCAGCAGCGGCGCCGTGCCACTTCCCGCTCCTCCCCCTTCCTCCTCCCTTACATCCATACCCGCTCGGTGGACAAAATCCTTGGGGCTCCTCCTCCTGCCTCCATTCAGCTCCTTGAGGACACTCCATTCCTTGCCGCCCTCTACCTTGACTTCCTGGGCTTTCCTGTCCTTGGCGCCACTACTACCCCCACCATCTTCACTCCCTCCACCTTCCAGGAAGCCATCACCTGCCCTGATGCGGATAAATGGATAGCAGCGATCTTCCTGGAGTGTGAGGCCTTCATTCGCAACGACTCCTTTGTCGATGTCCCCCTCCCTGCTGGCGCTAATCTCGTTGACGGCAAATGGGTCTTTCGGGTGAAGCAGCTGCCGGGCGAGGAACCAGTGTACAAGGCCCGCTACTGCGCCAAGGGGTTCACGCAGACTTGGGCTGAGGACTACTGGTTCACCTACGCCCCCACCGCCAAACCACCCACCCTTCGCGCCGCCATGGACATGGGTGCACGTGACGACATGGAAATCGACTCCATGGACGTCTCCAATGCGTTCCTGCAGGGCGACCTGCATGAGCGCATTTTCCTCCGGCGACCCCCCGGGTTCCACGCAGCCTTTCCTGAGAACACTGTCTGGCAGCTGCGTCGCCCCGTCTACGGCTTGAAGCAGGCACCACGTGAGTGGCATGCGAAGCTGACTGCCACCTTGGGGTCCCTCGGCTTCTCTTCTTCCCACTCCGACGCCAGCCTCTTCATCCGCTCCTCCCCCCGCCGCTTCTTCATTCTGGTATATGTCGACGACATGATCCTGCTCTCTGACACCAAGGCCGACATGGAGCAGGTGAAGCTGTCCCTGCAGCAGCGGCTCAAGTGCAAGGACCTTGGCGCCCTCACTAACTACCTCGGCATGACCATCACGCGCAACCGCCCTGCTCGCACAATCACCCTCTCCCAGTCCCATTACATCGGCCAGGTCTTGGAGAAGTTCGACATGGCGCAAGCCAAGCCTGTTTCCACCCCGCTCTGCTGAGGGTTGTAGGGCACTGTGAGCTGATGCTGAATGCCCTTCTTCTTCAGCACCGCCTCAAACTCATTGCCAATGAACTCTCCTCCGTTGTCGGTGCGGATCACCTTCACCTTATGTCCGCTCTCCCTTTGAGCTCTCGGCATCCACTCCTTAAGAACAGCCGCTGCCACCTCCCCTTTAGTCTTGAGAGGGTAGACCCACACCGCACGCGTGTGGTCGTCTACAATGGTCAAGAAGTAGCGGCTACCTGAGAGAGAATTTGCCCTCGTAGGGCCCACCACATCCATGTGCACAATCGCAAGTGGTGCCTTGGCTAGTCCTGTGCTGCTACTGAAGGGAAACTTCGTGAACTTGGTCTCAAGGCATATAGGGCAGCTCCCAATCTCCTT